ACTTCACCCTTTGATAAATGTGTCAAATGTTAAATAGCTTCTATTTAGGTGTGATTTGGTAAATTTCCCCCTGTTTAATGCATTAAAGTGCAAAAGCTGTAATGGTTCCATTCTGGTCAACAGGGAGGTGTTGGTAAGCGTTTGCTTACACCTTTCACAAGTATATGGTTCTGTATTTAGATCTTATTATGACTCTTGAATTTGGGATTGATTATGAGTGATGCCAAATTGAATTAGTGTTTTGTGTTCCCTAGATTATGTTCTAAGTTTACCAACTATAGTGACAACTTCTTGTAGTGCATAATTTTGTGATTATATCCTTGGTGTTGGATTGCTCGATGTGGTGGTTGGTTGTGGATTCCTCTTGTTTTAAAGGACCAGGGTGCTATGAGAAGAACTGCAAATGTTGAAGCACCAGATGCTAAGTGAACATTTCCACGTAGAAGTCATGTGAATAATCGTCAAAAATTTCCATCTTAAAATTGGATGAAGCTTTTATTATGAAAGCCAATGGACAACCAACCTGCATGAAACGGCCAGTTCTGATTCTAGAAGTATCCCCAAAATGGGGAATGTTCTTGAATGGTACTCTTAATACGAGAGTGGTACTCACAGATTTCTCTTAAGTTCTTGAAAGCCAGAACTGCTTCTTGTAGACACCAAATTGAGTTGCTAACAAGGATCTTAAGACTTCTTTAGTTGAGGATGATTTAGATCTAATTTGAGATTTGTTATGCACTCTTGCAAACAATGTTTCAAAAAGTACTAGGCGGCACCTAGGCGGTCGGGGGGGGGGGGGGGGGTCCAGGCCGCCCAGTGCCTAGGTGGGCGCCCAGAACTTGGGCGGCCCAGTAGAATTTTTTTTCTTTTTGGGGTTTTCTCTATCTAAAATAGCCTCTAATGGGTTTTAGGTTTCAAATGAACCTAAAACCCACAATTTTGCCCCTTTAATATTGAAAAAATGACTCAAAAATACCCTCAAGGAGCTGCATTTCCACCCTGGGCAGGGCGCAAGCCCTAGGCAGGTTCCCGAGCGCCTAGGCGGGCGCCCAAGGATATCCGCCTAATTTGGCCGCCTAGGTCTGGGTGATGCGCCCAGGCCTTCTGGACCGCCTAGGCGGCCGCCCAAGCGTTGGGCGGTCTGCTTTTTAAAACACTGCTTGCAAAATAGGGTGTAGCTAAATGCTTCAACTCTCTATCCAACTAAAGACAATAATTTTATGATATGTAACTACTGCCTGGATAAGTTTCTCTAGGGTTATGAATAATTGAGTTTGATGGTTTCCCTTAGTTTAGTGTAAATTTCCTTTTCGCAAATTTCGATAAAAAAGAAAAGGTTACTATGAATTCTAATGGCATTTAACTAAGTCATCATCATCATCCAAGCCTTATCCCAAGGATTTGGGGTCGGCTAATGGCATATTACTAAGTACATGTATTAATTGACTCAATTGAGGATGGAGTACCCACTCATCATGCTTTGATCTGTTATTACCCATTGCAAGCAGAATGGTATCAGAAGTATTTTAAGATGGTTACTAATGGGTATAGAAATTTCGTTTACAGTACGCCTTCTACTTACCATCCTTTGTAGGTAACATCCTTATCTAATTCAAGTTTGGAGAACTATCTATCCCTGTTAAGACGTTCTCCAGGTTACTCAATAATGGCTGATATGGGGGCCTTGTCCTTGATAATGATGTTCTTCAAGGCTCTAAAGTCCTCATCCATTACTATGACATCTTCCCATTAACTGATAAAACATAGTTGATTTTAGGATTATATTATGGTACACAAATCCTCCTTATTCGTTTCACGTACACTTGGGTTTATGGTTTTGGAGGTAGATTACCTTAAGCCTTTGGAACAACTTTCCCATCCTATTGCTCTCAAACTCGTTAGCTGAGATTCCGAAGCCAATTTTCTATAAATAACCCCCCCTCAACATCCTTAATAATTGACTGTTACTCTTCCAGTTTAGTAATGTGATCTTCCTCGACAAATGATGCCTCAAGAATTTGCATTCCATTTTCTCTTAATGTTTTCAAAGGAAAAAAGGAAACTGTTAATTGAAACCTTTTTCATTACTATGCTTAAAAAATATCCTCAATTTAATTTGAGAGGTTGTTAAGGCTGAATTGTTGTTTGCATGGAGATGATGCACTTTTTTTTTTTGGGTTTCACACTGTCTACTGTTGAGCTACTGAATGCCTGACTATTTATTTTTCCTTTTCTTTACCTGGCAGGTTCATCTATTCCTTCATGGGAATAGGCATCTTGCTATGCTTGATTACTTGCATAGGCCACATTGCTGCAGAGGCACTTAATGGATGTTGTCTTTGTTCTGTATCCCATTTAGACCAATTTCTTTTTTTCTATGTTGTTGATGAGTTTGTAATCTTTATCACAGTCATCATCGGATGTATGGAGCGGAGATAAGTTGATGCAAAAAGTCGTAGATAGGATTGAAGGCTTATATTTTTTATTGGAGCATCATGAAAAGCTAGTCTGTTTTTCATGAAGAAAACCAAGAAAGTGAACAGGAACATGCTCTACATAGCTGATTTGTGCTGGTTTTCTGGAACGAATTTTAGATTTTTTAACTTAAGCTTCTTATCTCAAGTTTTTTGGCTTTTTATTTGCTTTGCTTCGCAAGTTCACTGAGATCGTCTTTTGATGTAGCATGCAAATGTTCTTTGTTTTTTACTAGAAAGTTAGTGGGAATTTTATATTGAGATTATTTTGGAAGTTTTAAGGATTTTCCTCTCATATTTGGTATAGGCCATAATGTTATGTATTTTCTTTTCCATTAAAGAAAAAGGAAAATGGATAGAAAAACAATGGTTGTTACCTTTTGTATCTGTTTTCTGGGACGAGTATGATATTTTAAAAACCCTTTTTTCGTTTATAAACAACAGAACTTATGTTTTGGTCTAGTGTTTGCATGAGATGTCCCTTTTGATTTGGAAGGAAGGATGTTCCCTTTTATGTGGATGGAAGTATTTGTGTTTTTGTCTAGAGTGTTCATGCATCGTGCATTTGTTGTTGAGCCTCTAAGATCAAGTTACAAAATCTCTGAAATTCTGAATTTTGAGACTTGTTTTTCATCCTTCTTATTTAGCTTCCATCTTTGATTGTTTCGATGTTCAAATGATTTCTAGCTACACCATTATCCCTCCCACTATACATGCTGTTTATGTGCATAGCTATTGGCATTTCATTTTTGTTTTAGATGCTTTACTTGCATTTCTTTCCTTGACTCGGATTACTTGCAGTATACCACGCTGACAACCATATTGATATTAGTCGAAGCTGCACTTGTGGGGGATATTCTATTCAATGACCACTGGGATAAGGTGTGTTTTCATCTCTACATATTAAATGAGATCTTCTGTATGATATTCTTGGAAGTGTTTTTTTGTCTCTCATGTGAATTATCAGTGAGTCTCTTGCCCTTTTCTTATTTGACAGGATCTTCCCTACGACCCCACTGGAGAGTTCGATACCCTAAAATCATTTGTTGAAGATAATATTGAAATTTGTCAGTGGGTTGGTCTCACATTAATATGTATTCAGGTGAATTACTTGCTGTCAATTCTAGTAAGCCTGATGTACTCTGGATTCCTTCATATGCTATGTCCGTGGTTATGATTATCATAAATGTTTGTGTAACTTTTGCTGATGGATACTATGTTTTGTCCGACTGCAAGCTGCTAGAGGCTTAGTGATGTGAATTCACCTATTCTTCATGTTTTTCACAATTTTACGGCTTGAAATTTCTCTAGCACAATAATAAAAAATATACTCTACTTTGTTGAGAACACTTTCATTAATAACTTACATTATGGGAGATATGATACTGTACTGCTATATTATTTGGGGAAGGACTTTCGAAGGCAATCCTGTAGCACTTTCTCTTCAGAATGCATTTGAATATTAATCTTCAGTTTGGTGGCCTCCAATAGGTGCCAAATATTCATTTTAAGTAAATTATTTAACTTCCTTTGAACAGTTATTATTGCCATATTGGCCTTTAACTTGTGTGTTAAGAATTTCTTTCATGTCGTTATATCGTTAATATTTCATAGAGGAGCCTTTTGATGCACAATGAGAATAGCACAAGCAGTTGTATGCCTAAATGGGTTATGTATGCTGCCCTTTTCATTCAGTTTATTTCGTGCTAACTTTGATCTTCAGATCTTCACATCTGGCCCTTTGGGTGCGTATGTGGAATAATATATGTTTATTCTATTGATCAAGGCTTGAGAGGCATGTACTTGTATAATGGTGCTTAATTTATCCAATGATTGCCTACTGTCCTTAACTTCGTAAACTATGTTACAAAGACATGGATATGCATGTGGGTATCTGGCATGGATACAAATATCAGAAATGCCAGCTCCAAACTTGGCATTTTAGATATGACATGTTGTACGTCATTTACTATAGGGAGCTGGTGGTATTTTAAGTTAGATTAAGCACTTTGATGGTGACACTTCAATAAAAACCAGTTAGGCAGAAGTATCTAAGAGTCTAAAATGTCAGACATGCATGTTTATGTGGTGTCGATGCGTGTTAGAAACCAAGGACACATCACACATGTTTCCAATTACTAGTCGGCAACGCATGAGATACATAGGCTATGTACAACTAGAATGCATATCAGTGGTCACGGTGGGAATGGCGGTTTGTGTGGGCCAACCAAGGATCAGGTGGCACATCGATGTGTGGGATTGTGGAACCAGGCAGTGTGAGTAGGAGATGTTAAATATTGGCAGTCAGCACTTGAAGGGCATGTTCTCAGAAAATATACGTTGGTGAAGCAGAGAGGAGCGAGTGAGAAGACATGAGGTCTTCCGTATGTAAGAGGACAATAATCAAGTAAGTAAAATAGCAGTTGGGCTGAGATTTCAAGGGAATTAGGGAGTTTAAATTTAAATTTATTCTATCCCATAGCTAGGTAATGGTGGTTTTTCCTTCTTCCAGTGGTCAGAGTGTGGAGTACTATGGAGATTTGCAATAGCAAGGTTCTTAAATGTAAATCCCTAAATGTTAGCCATGTGGGGCAATAAGTTTCCTTTTAGACATAATTTCTATTCCTCTTCTTTAAGGTTGAAAATGTCAAATTGGCATCTCAGGTACTATATGGAATCTGTATTCTAGATGGAGGTTTTGTTCTGTTCATATTTGCTGATAGAGATAATAAATGTGGATGACACTTATGAATTAGCCAAAATAAATAAAGAAATGAATCTTTCTTCTTGATGGAGATTTTGTGCTGTTCATACTTGCTGTTAGAGCTAATAAAAGTGGATGATGCTAATGAATTAGCCAAAAAGAGAAAAAGGGATGCAATTGCTATGGTTCAAGAGCAGGTTGGATCTACTCTATGATGTAGGGAGAAAAAAAAACTAGAAATTCACTAAAAATTAAAAATAAAAATAAAGATTTGAGAGATTGTACCCTCTCTTTTGGTCTATAAGCGAGTCCACTCCAAGATCTTTTTACAACATCAAACTCTTTACTCAATCACCAATTTCTGTTTTACAATGAGGGGCTTCCTTCCCTTTAAATACACTTAGTAGAAAATAAATAAATAACTAAAGAAAAAACCATAAGAAAAATAAACTCTCTCTTCTACGTTTTTTTCTCTACCCCTATATTCTCTCTCTTCATCTCACGTTATCCTTTCTAAGAATAAAAGTTAACTACTACTTACTTATCTAAACTTAGGTTATTTCCTAAATCAAAAAATCGTATTTTTTCTATAGGTTAGTTTCTAAACCAAAAGGTCTTATCTTATCTATATGTTATCTTTTTAAAAAAACTAACCCAATTGATCAAAACAAATCACATACCACCCTAATGTCTAAAACAACTCACGCACAAAATCCTTCCTCTTCCCTCTTAACAACTCACGCACTAAAATCCTCCCTCCTAACTTATCCTAGCGCATTTCCTATTCTTAAGAAAAAAAAATAAAATAAAATAAAAATAATAACACTAAAATCCTTCCTTTAAAGTGCCTAGTTCTGGGATGGAATGATGATTTCTGGCCTTTAAGTCCTATTCCTTCTGTAAAGTCAAGATCAGGGAGGGCCGCAGTCCTCCCCACTTTATGATAGAATTGAACTACATATGGATATGTTAGACTAGGAATGTGTTTAGTGTGATAGTAATGCCTTAAGATGGTCCGCGGATTAACTTTAACCCCTGCAGCAGCAGCCACATACCTACCCAGCACTTCCTCGGCATGCATGTAGTGGTGAGTTTTGCTAGGTTGTAACCTATTCTTAGAAAATCTGCCTATCTTCAAGCACAATTTGAACTGACCACTTGGAGTTTGGCTGCCTTGTTATCCTTTCTTAACTTGTGTTACTTTTCCGTGTGAAATTGTCCTAATATGCTCAGTGTACCACACTAAAACTTTCCATTGTAGGTGGTAGTTACCACTGAATTCCCTACCTCTCACTTTTGAAGGAATAATGGGTAAACGAATGCTTTAATCTAGCAATCTTTTCCTGTCAGCATGTTCTCATATGTTCTTCTGAATTGTGGATGCCTAATAGATGACGTGACTTTGTATATTGCAAATCCATGGTGATTTTGTAAGCGTTTAGTTTGTCTGATTTTGCATTTTTTATAACATATTAATTGAGTAAAAACTGAAGAACCACCAAATTTGTAAACGTACATAGATTAAAATTTGCTCACTGAAAACGGAGTATCTCCCATTGAATGGTACACATTTCTATTATTTTCTGATGTTCAATTCTAAACTTACCTGGGGCTTTGCAGGCTCATTTATTTGAAAGTAAACTGAAGTTTTGTTGATTAGTCAGAGGATTAAACTACTTTAATCACTCATGATTTACGGAAGGTACTTGGATCACGCATTCATATATATGACTGTTATACATTAAAAAATATTGACAGTGCAATAGGCGTTACATGGATATTGGCCTTAATCATGAAAATTTTGTAATATAGAGGGAAATCTAAATTGTCTGTGTACTAAATTGAGCTTATTGAACTGGTAAAATTTTGTAGGCACTATCGTTGCTTTTGGCCTTAATTCTAAGGGCCATGGTCTCAACTAGGTGGGTGGACTACGACAGTGATGATGACTATGGTGTTGGAAGGATCAACTATCAACAGCCATTTTTGAACCACCAAGGAGGGCAAAACTCTACTTTGATATCTGGGGACATTAAGAACATCCGCACTGATGCATGGAGCGCACGGATGAGAGAGAAGGTAATGTGTGATCAACCATCCCATTGCTCTGCCGCCCCCCCCCCCCCCCAACACACACATATTTGATAATCAAATAAGTCCCAATGAAAGTTCTTGGGAAGAAGACGTTGTTGGCCAAAATTCTCTTTCGAAAATCTCATGCTAGAGTTTAATAATATGCATGCCTGTGTTTGCACTCTTTTACAAATGGTTCGTGATTCTACATGATTATTAATCAAACGATTACTCTTGCTGCAGTATGGCTTGAACCCCAATGAATTTGCATACAATTCAATTGAGGCTTCAACGGGCATGAGAAATGGCGAAGAAAACCAAGGTCGGTGTATTATTATGTGACTGGAAGACAATTAGGCCTTTCTGATACGCAGGAACTGATTGTGCTCAATTCTTTCATTCTTGAACCTTTTCGAGTTCCTATCCTGCCAAATAGTGCTTTGTGTATATGCCTCGCTTTCAGATGAGAATGTTTAGTGGTTGTGCATTTTGTCCTGGTGATGTTAATGTCTTCTTTGAGTTGGAATTCCTGCTTTTTCCATTCTTTTCTTGCTGGGAAGTTACACAGGTAACACATACACCTTCTGTTCTCACAACAGACGGTGGAGAAGAAATTGTAGTGCACACAGGACAGATCAATTAGTTGAGTTACTGTTCATCTCCTCCTCCTTTAAGGCACAGTGGATGCCATGTCTGGGTGTCTTACATATGTGCATGCTGTATTGTTCCTTCTTTCTCACTGGCTTAGGAAGAAAAAAAAAGAAGGGAAAGTTATCCAAATAACTAGTTAACATTCTATTCATGTTTTGTAATTTAATTTTAATATACCCATCAGAAGACACATGATCATGAGTTAGAATAGCTGCAGATGGGTAAAATATTAAATAGTTCAGCTCTTATATGTATTTTGGTAAATTCTCAAAAAGGAAAGCCTTTGGGTCTTTGTCACTAATTATTTAGGTCCATTTATCTTCCTTAAGAGACATACTCTCTTTCTTCTTTCTCCCTTATTATATGTCCATTATTTGCGTAAAAAGAGTCTCTCCACCATGGGAACTTTGGCATCACTCTAATTCCCTTTATGCACTATTCTGGTGGTAACACATGATCTGTTTCTACTAATCAGTGAAAGTGAGAGCGAAAGTCTTGTGGAAGACCAGCTTAGGGATTTTTATTTTTTATTTTTTTAATGTACGGAATATTTAAACTGTTTAGGCTAGCTGGACTTTATT